TACGCATCTCGTCAATTAAAGCCATATGAACAAAACTACTCCACTCATGACTTGGAACTAGCAGCGGTGATATTTGCCCTAAAGATATAGATATGTTATCTCTATGGAGTAAAGTTTCAGGTCTTTTCTGACGACAAGAGTTTGAAGTACTTGTTTACTTAGAAAGATCTGAATCTTAGGTAGAGTAGATGGATGGAATATATGGAAGATTATGATTTCACGCTGCAGTATCATTTGGGAAAAGCTAATGTGGTAGCTTATGCCCTTAGCAGGAAGACCTCAGGATCTTTGGCATTATTAGCTTTACAAGACTAGAAAAGGACTGAAGTTGTAAGTGACTATGGTCTTCAATACTATGAGGATTATACCAGGCAATGGTGTATAATCTGATCTCCACACCGGCCCTTATGTAACAAGTTAAGCAGAATCAATAGTAGGATCCTCATCTCCAAGGGATTTGAATTCGAATCCAGAATGAGGAGCAACTTGAGGATTGGAGAATCTGAGAGGATGAAGCACTTTATTTTCGCAACCAACTAGCTGTTCCTAAGGTGGATGAGATCAAGAAGACGATTCTGCATGATGCCCATAAGTCGTGTTACACCATTTATCCTGGAAGCACCAAGATGTACCAGGATCTGAAGAGACAATATTAGTGGAGAGGTATGAAGAAAGACATTCATGAATATGTTTCAGAATGTGTAACTTGTCTCCGGATTAAAGCAGAACACCAAAACCTGTGGGTGAATTACAGCCTTTACTTGTACCGGGATGGAAATAGGAACACATCACGATAGATTTTCTGATGAGACTTCTGAGAACTGGGCAGAAGCATGATGCCATCTGAGTGGTGGTGGATAGGTAGACAAAATCTGCATATTTTATACCGTTTCGTGCGACATATTCCCAGAAGATTCTGGCAGAATTATATTTAGAGCACATCGTGAGACTTCATGGGGTACCGTTATCCATTACGTCCGATCGCGACACTCATTTTAATGCAAGGTATTGGAAAAATTTTGAGGAAGCGACGAGAATAGAATTGAATTTTAGCACATTATTTCATCCTTAGACTGATGGGCAATCTAAAAGAGTTATTCAGATTCTGGAGGATATGTTTCGTGCTTAAATTCTGGACTTTGGTAGAAACTGAAAGAAATATCTTCACCTTGGTGAGTTTGCTTACAATAATAGCTATAAGGCCAGTATCGGTTTGGCACCGTTTGAAGCTCTTTATGGTCGACCTTGTAGATCACCTATTTGTTAGCTGGAACGAGAAGATCGACTTACTACTGGACCAGAAGTTGTTCAAGAAAATAACGAGAAGATAACTCTTATTCGAGAACAATTGCTAATGACTCAAAGTCGTCAAAAGAGCTATGCTGACAAAAGGCGTAGACCTTTAGAATTCCAAGAAGGCGACTTCATTTTATTGAAGGTTTCCCCACGCAACAGAGTTGTTCGTTTTGAAGTAAAAGGGAAACTTGCACTAAGGTATGTTGTACCATTCTCGATTGTGCAATGAGTTGGTGTCGTAACGTATTGTCTGGCTTTACTGCATGAGTTATCTCATGTGCATGACGTGTTCCATGTTTTTATGCTTCGTAAATGTCAACCTGATCCGGAAGCCGTGGTATAATATCATAACGTTCTGATATAGTATGACGCGACATATGAGGAGGCACCCGTTCAGATTCTTGATCGGGAGATGAAGAGTTTGCATCATCGTGAGATTCCATTAGTGAAAGTTTTATGGCAGCACCATGGAGTTGAAGAAGCGACATGAGAGCTTGAAACAACGATGCAAGAGCAGTACCCACATCTCTTTGCACTTTGAGGTAAGTTCTAATTTCGAGGATGAAATTCCTTAAGGGGGTGGAGCCGTAACACCTTGAGAAATTAAATGAGATTAATTAAGGTAATTAAGATTTATTAGTGTGCCTAATCTGATTTAATTAATTAATTATTATTTATTAAATGTTTCTGACGTGTAAATTTAAATATTTTCAAGGAATTTAAATATTTTCAGTAATTATATTTTTATCCCAGAAATGTGTAGACACATTTCTAGACTGTTATTTTAAATATTTTGGCACCTGTTTTCTTTCCTTTTTCTTTTTTTTTTTTTATGTTTTTTTTTCTTTTCTTCCTTTTTCATTTATTTTCCCGTGCACTCTCTCTCTCCTTCCTTGTCGTTTTGCTCTCTCTTTCTCTCTCGTTCGTTCCTCTCTCTCTCCCGTTCAAATCTTCACCAAATCAACCAGATTTTGAACCAAAGAAGAATTTCAAGGAGTTTTCAACGTCAAGAGAAGAATTTGAGGTAAGATTTCTAAAAAACTTCTCTTGAATCTCATATTTTTCGGATTAGAAAACTTATTTTGGTTCGAAATGGATTTTGAGTAAAATTATGGTAGAAATTGGGGATCTTTGGTTATATGGACTTGATTTAGTAACTAGAACATGGATTTGGTTGTTTCCCCTGGAAATATTTCGAATTGGAACTCGAATTTGCAGGTTTTGGCCGAATTTTCTTCAGATCAGCCCTGTTGGTCAAGCTGTCAAGCTCCCACCGGTCGACCGGTTCCTTCACCACCGGCCGACCGGTAGAGAATAACATCTCTGTCACCGGTCAATCAGTGTACACGGGGTTTGACCCTGTTTTACTTGAAAACCCTATTTTGACCCTGATTTGTGAAGAGAACCCAAATTAGCTTCATTTGGGGATCTAAAGTGAATGGATTAACATCTTTAATCCATGTTTTGGAATCAAAACCCTTGGAATGATGATTTGAAACATGAAATGATTTGAAACATGAAATAATTTATGAAATTTGAAATTTGATTAAGGCACACTAATAGGAACTCAAAAGGTATGATTGAGATTGAATTACTTTAAGAATGAGAATTGCATCATAAAGTGTTGTTTTGTATCAATGATAGTTGAGGAATCAAACTGAAGGCTTCAAGGAAGCGGAGGCCAGGAAAGCGCAACGCTAGCCACATGTTTGGTACTTGAGAAGTAGGACTCCTTACCCCTTTCTTTGATAACCTGTTTTCAAAAGAGTTTTGACATTGCAAATGTTTTAAAGAAATGACATGTTTGCGAAAGAAAAGCATTTTAAAAAACAATAGCTTAATTTTAGCTATTGGAATTATAATGAACTTTTTCAGAAAGTTTAATGAATGATTTCTTAAGATAAGAGATCTTGCGAATTGGTAAACCGGCTGATGGCCTAGATAGGATATGGAGAGTGTATCCTTGGGGGCAGAACCCGAAACCCAGACCGGGCCACTACAGTGGTGATATGGCTTGCGCTTATGGTTGTGTAAGTAATTTATCAGAGGATAAATTACTTGCTGATGCCTGTAATACGAAAATTTTCAGTTTATATTCATTTCAGAAAAATGATGTGAGGTTCCGGCTGTTGTGTTGGAACTGAATGTCTACATTTATTTATTTATCTATTTACTTGTTCATTCATTTATTTACTTGTTTACAAAGCTTATTTAAAAATACATCATACTGAGACTTTCGCTCATGTTTTATTTGTTTTATAAATATTAAACCCCTCCCAGGTGATGCAAGGAGTAGTGCGGAGTAGCTGAGTTAGTTGCTACCATCCGATTAAGAGAGGATTGTGTTCATCCTCCCGGTGTACAAATGTAAGAATTGTAAATTCGGTAAACTCTGAACTATGGACTTCTAGACTGTGATTGATGTCTGTAATATTATTTACATATTCATGTATGTACAATACTGCATATCCTGTGGGTGAAGCCCTGAATGATGGTAGAGGCTCAAGTTTTAACCTCTTGTAATCAGAAAGTGCGGCAGATCCTATAACTTTCTTATCATTTATTTTCATCTAAATGTGGGGCTCGTTTAGAAATTTCTTTAATATTTTACTTTTGGTTTTGATTACTATATTTCTCAATGTTTAATTACTCTTCTAATTACATTTAACTTCTAAACGAGCCTCCACATCACTAACTTCGGCTTTGAGGCATGACATTATTAATTAAGAATTAATTTATTACTATTAAGTTTTTAATTTTATTAATAAAATAATAAATAATATAGTAATTAATTATTTAGTTAATGATTAATTACCAAAAATTAATTATATAACACATTAACAATAAAACAAGTAGTAATAAGTTATTAAATAAATAATTAATAATTAATATATCAATAATATATTATGTTAATTATAATCTATGAATTAGTAAATAGTTGGTAAATAAAAAATAAATAGTAATATTAATAATTAATATTAAATTATAATTATCAATATGTAATATACTAATCAATGATAATTAATAATTGATAATTAGTAATTAATCATTATAAAAAGAATAATTACTAAAAATTAATCATGTGATATATCAAATAATATATTATTAAATAAACATTAGTAATTAATTAATTATGTAACTAAAAATTAATAATTTAAGTAGTAAAAAAATATTAATAAATTATATATATACTATTTATTTTTTTAAGACACTAATTAATTACTTATAATCTAATAAATATGAGTAAATTACGAACATAGTAATTAGTTATAATTAATTACTAATTATAATTTTTTAATTATTTAACATATTAATATATTATATATATAGTTTAATTATTAATGTTAATGATAATTTATTTATTATTATTATATTATTAATATATTAATTTTTATTTATTAAATGATTATCAATTATTAATTACTTAATATATTAATTTAAGATTATTAATTACATGTACACAAAATAAAAATAAATGTAATTAAACACGATTTCACTTTTTTATCATACTCAAACTAATTTCTTAAAAGACCACCAAATATAATTTTAGAATCGATTTTAAAATAATTTTTAAAATAATCTTATTTTTATTTTTTACTAAAAATAAAACAAAACATTATTAAACGGACCCAATAATTTTGGAGGGATGTAAGTAGAAATAGCCCAAACATAAGCCCTCGGCCCATGAATTTCCGACATCTGATTTATATCCTGAAGAAGAAGAGAAGCGCTCGTTTTGCGAATCAGACATTTACACACACACACACACACACGCTGAGCCGTTTCTTGTTTTTGTTGAAGAATTTCGCTCTCCGAGGCTTCTTCAACACCAAAAAAAAAAAAATAAAAAAAAATAACCCGACGAGAAGCCTCTGGTTTTTCTCCATTTTTAGGGTTTTCACCGAGCTCCGAATTTTTATGGCGGAGGTCATGAACATGCCCGTCGACTCCCTCGACCGCCGCCGCGGCGACCGCAAGGAGAAATCCGCCGAAGATCCTCCCCAATCCTCGTCTCCGCCGCCGCCCCCTCCGCCACCAGCGAGAAGGCGCGACAGGGACGAGAGGGACCGGAGAGACGACAGGGACGCCGATCGCCCTCCCAGCCGCCGCGGAGATTATCACGATCGCGGAAACCGATCTCCGCCTCCGCCGCCGCTCAGGGAGAGGGAGAGGGACAGGGATTACAAGCGGCGGAGCAGCCTCAGCCCGCCCCCGCCGCCGTATCGGGATCGCAGGCACTCTCCGCCCCGCCGCTCGCCTCCGCCGCCGTATAAGCGGTCGAGGAGGGACGATGGAGGGTACGATGGGAGGAGGAGTCCTAGAGGAGGGTTTGGACCTGGCGATAGAAGGTGAGAGGATTCTTCCTTGTTGTCTCTGCGATTTCGTGGTCAGTTTAAAAGTGATTAAGCTTTTTCATGTTTAGTTTTGGGTGATCATTTTGCATGATTTGAGTTTTGAGTTCAAGTCGTGAACGAAAAAATTGTATTGAAATTTTATGCACGTTGGATTGAGCTTCTTGGTGAAGGGAATAAAACCTGAAAGTGAACATCGAATTGAGACTCTGTGGAAATTAGGACTTTGGTTTGGTTCGTGGATTTAGGGTTTCTCTGCTTGTTGAAGTTATCAGTTCTTATAAGTTATTTGTAGTCAGAAAAATGAAAAGAACAATATTTTTACTGCAGAGAAACCTCTTCTGGATTTTGTTATTGGGTGGACAGGACAATGTACATTAGTCTCGCCTCTTTTCGTTTCTTTTTCTCCACAGTCGTTCTTCTTAATTTTTTATTGGCTAGTAGTATGTCTTGATGAAATAGAACTAGTTAAATGCTTCTTGTTTTTCATGCTTGTTTAATTGTTTCTTCTCTCTGTCTCTCTCTCTCTCTCTTAATTGTGTTAGAGAATGCTGTGAAGCGATATTCTATTGTATTTGAACATGGGATCGATTTATGGCTCTAAGATTCTCGACATGCTTGGCAGGTTTTCATATGGAAACGTCTACTTCCTTGAACCAATAAAGGAAAGGGATTGGAGTAATTTTTTTATGTGCTGTTTTTGGACTTTGAATGTTTTTCTTGGCTTCTCGCATCTAAGCATATTTTTTAAACAAGGATGTTGTATTTTCTTTCTCTACTTGTTTCTATGGATTGTTCATTGGATAATTCTCAACGTCTTGTATTAGGATAGATTTATGGTTGGTATTTTCTGTCTAAACTTTTGTTAGTTCGGTGGCTGCACCTTACTATTCTAAATTTTCTTGATTATTATTGCTGTGAACTTTGTATGGAACAGATTTGGATATGATTATGCTGGTGGATATGACCGTGAGATGGGAGGTAGGCCTGGGTATGCTGATGATAGGCCTCATGGTCGATATGTCGGACGTTCTTCTGGTGCCTTTGGCCCTCCAGGTAAATGTAGAACTAATTCCTCTCCAAATTTGATTATAATTTGCCTATATCATTCTTGTTCGTACAACATTTTTACTTATTTATTTCTGAAAGTCTCTTGAGGAATATATATCCACAAGTGTAACATGGTCCGGACTAAGCATGTATACCTATGTCTGTGATTGATCCTTTTCAATTTGTAGCATAGAATAAGTTACAACATACGAGGGTGAAGAGGGATACAAAGAAGAAGAAGAAATAAAATGATTTGTGCTTTGTGTGACAGGAAACTCTTTCCTTGTTCTGTTATTAAAAATCTATATGAGTTGAGGTATTCTAGCTAAAACTTAAGCGAATTACACAACTTTTTGCCATGTTAATTTCCTTGTGTGTCCAACTGTTGATTGTGTGCCGGATAAAAAGGGAAAAAAATTCAAACATAGTCTCTTAAACGGTACATGGCTCATCTACGGCTACCATATTCTTTGGGCTGCTAACCATTACATGCCTTCCTTAGCATATTTGCCAAACTCAAGGATTCTAGCAGAACGCTATTTAGTCCACATTGACTTTCTAACAGCTCAAGAATGTGATGAGGCAGATATTGCCCATTTTCATGACTGTGTTTATTTTATGGAATCATGGCTATTGGGAAGATGTGTTTTGGCCTTTGTGTTTCACAATAACCAGATATTGTCACACATGGTTATTGGAATCATGATTTTGCTGTACAAGAAATCTCCACCAAGGGTTTGAAGATTTCTTGTGTGACAATGTTTCATATTCCAATTTTTTTTATTCTTCTTGGATTTAATGCATATAAATGTAATTTGGTTTACAGTTTCTGCCATTTCGCCATGAGTTTTATCATTTTGATAAGTACATATAACTATATGCAACCTACTGCTTTTATTTGTATGGATTGCTCCTTGTACTAAATATGCCATCTGTGTGGAAATCGCTCGCTATTATCTTTCACAGTTTTGGCTTGAAGCTTTGATCATTTTCTTCTGGCTGTTGTTTGCAAGAAAAGAAGGGTCTTATAATTTTTTTAGAATCTATTTGAGATATTTGAGATTGAGGTGAAGGATAATTTTTTTTTTTGTTTGCATGTTTGTGTCTTTTTTCTTTTTTTTTTTTTTTTTGGTTGAAAGAAGTAATGGGAGTCAAAATTTTTGTTCAAAGAGGAGACACAAAATCATTAAATTTTTAAAAAAGCAAGCTTTGAAACGGGAAAAAAAAGAACCGAAACTACGAGCAATCTTTTTATCACGACGAGCTCAAACAAAAGGAATGTCTTTAAATGCCTCAAAAGCAAAAATCCAGTATGAGATTTGGGTATGATCGTAGCACTAGTTCACTATACAATTTATGTACACTTGTCATTCAGTGTCATTTAATTGTCCTTATATTGTTTTTTGTGGTCAGGTCTTATTCATTCATCGTATGTATGTATTGAGTGACTTCATTATTTTATTCTATTTGCTTATCTGGAGGGTGCTTTGTTCCTCTTGCAGAATGGGATTCAGGCCGCAGTGCTTTTGGCGATTCTTTTGGTGTGGGGACTAATCAAAGGTAACCATTATATGTTTTTCTGATGCTAGTTTTCACTTTTCAATAATTCTATATTACAATGAAGGATATAACTGTACTTTTCGGGACTATATACATTTTACCTGGCAATGTTAGAAGTTAGAATTGACGAGTCAGTTTTTTCAGGGAAGGTTTAATGTCGTACAAGCAATTCATTCAGGAGCTTGAAGATGATATTTTGCCAGCTGAAGCTGAGCGGAGGTACAGGATGGTTATGAATTGTTCTAAATTTCAAGCATGAACAGAATTTTTGTTTGCATTTAGACAAAATTGACCTAAGCATAAGCACTTATTGTTATTGTTTTTCTTTTTCTTATTATTATTACTACATTTTTTTTGTGTGGTGGTTATACAGATACCAAGAATACAAGTCTGAGTATATTACAACCCAGAAGCGAGCTTATTTTAATGCTCATAAAGAGGAGGAATGGTAACTCGTCTTTCGTTTCGTTCTTTGCTTCCCACTTTTCCCGTTTGCTTGTGTTGTTTTACTGAACTTGGACATGTTGTAGGTTGAAAGACAAATATCATCCAACCAATTTACTTGCTGTGATAGAAAGGTATGTCTATCTACATGAGATGAAAAATTCGTTGTACCAGATGACTTTATGCTGAATGTTTTTATTGAGCTTGGTTGTTGTTCAATTGTTCTTCTTCACCATCTTTGGCGTTAAACTGTTCTTGTGGGAATTTATATGCAGGAGGAATGAACTTGCACGAAAGGTTGCAAAGGATTTCCTGCTTGATTTGCAAAGTGGAACGCTGGACTTGTAAGAATAACTGTTCCATATATATATATACATACATATTTGCTTGCTTGTACTTTTTGTTGCTTTATTTTTTATTTTTTATTTTTATTTTTGTTGTATGTGATCAATACTTTTTTTTTATTTTTGACAGAGGCCCAGGTCTCAATGCCTTATCTTCAAATAAAAAGGAACAGCCTAGTGATCCAAATTCTGAAGATGAAGTTGATGTGGGTGGAAAAAGGAGGAGGCGTTGTAGGACCCCAACTAAAGAAGGGGATCTTTCAGCTGCTCCTAAGGCTCATCCAGTCAGTTCTGAACCTAGACGAATACAACTTGACATTGAACAGGCACAGGCCCTTGTCCGCAAACTGGATTCCGAAAAAGGAATTGAGGGAAATATTTTAGGTGGATCTGATAATGACAAGAGTAGGGAGAAATCGCATGCTGGCTCTAGTGGTCCAGTTATTATCGTTCGGGGCTTAACCTCTGTCAAGGGCCTGGAGGGCGTTGAGTTGTTAGACACACTTATAACTTATCTTTGGCACATTCATGGCTTAGATTATTATGGAATGGTTGAAACTAGTGAACCTAAGGGTCTCCGGCATGTGAGAGTGGAAGGAAAGAGTACTGATATAACTAGCAATGGAGCAGAGTGGGAAAAAAAACTTGACTCACGTTGGCAAGAGAGGTTGCAGAGTCAAGATCCCTTGGAAATAATGACTGCAAAGGAGAAGATAGATACAGCCGCAGTTGAAGCTTTAGATCCCTACGTCCGAAAAATCAGGGATGAAAAGTATGGGTGGAAGTATGGTTGTGGAGCCAAAGGTTGCACTAAGCTATTTCATGCTGCTGAGTTTGTTCACAAGCATCTCAAACTGAAACACCCAGACCTTGTGATGGATCTGACTGTTAAAGTACGCGAAGATCTGTACTTCCAGAATTACATGAAGTAAGTTAGAACTTAAGTCCATATGTCTTTTATTTTTCCCTTTCCTGTCTATGTTCTTCCCCCTTCCAAATGACCAATTCTCGGTGTATTGTTCACAGTGATGCCAATGCGCCTGGTGGAACTCCTGTTATGCAGCAAACTGGACAGGTATGATTTGCAAAATTTACTCTTAGTGTCATAGATGTGGCAGTGAGGTCTGCAGAATCATAAATAGAAATGCAGATGGATAGACTGAAGGAAAGAAATTTCTGGAAGGAGAGTGTCCGAAGTTTAATTTTATTCCGATATTTTCTTTTTGCCACAAAGAGCTTTTTGCACAAATTGAGGAAGTTCCCTAAAAAGCTTTAATACTTCTGGGCTATCAAAAAAAAAAAAAAAAAAGGGAGGAGAGAAGAATGTACTTCACTTGGTTTTTGTTGGAGGTAGAACTAATTATAATGAAAAGATATTTGTCTCACAAGAAGAAAATTTTAATTTGTGAGATGTGGAGATAATTGCAAAATTGAAATAGTTCTATTAGCACTTGGTTTTTAAGAGGCATGGGCAGTTGATATATGTTGTTTTATTCTTTTTTTTAATTATTTTTCTTATTTATGTATGAAGTTACATCAGTTACATGAATTATTCCTATTTCATTGCTTATATTCATTTGTTAAAAGCCTAACAAAAATAAAATTAATAAAAAAGAATTTGATTAAGTGCTGCATACTCTAACAAGGAAACTGTTTGGATTCCTAAAATAGAAAAAGGAAGAAAGAAGACAAACGAAAAGAGAAAGCGTAAACTGGTTGGTTGGTCGTAGATAATCGACTTGTAAGCAATTAAACGGGCAAATGGTTAAAGACCTTCTCTTTTCTTTTGGTTCAGCATTTCCGTTACGGTTTTTGTCCATGTCTTGGAAGAAACAAGTACGCTAGGTGACAGAGGATGCAATTTTAATCATATCTTGGGTCAGTTGGCTAGACAATAGGAGAATACTTTTGTACAAATACCAGGATAAGCTCTCTGATTGAAATCAGTGGAGGGCAATGGTGGATAGTTTGGGAGATCTGCAGAATAACTTTGAAATTGAGATATTATGTTGTTTAAGTGGAAAGTTTATATTATTAATTCTACGTAACACAAGTAAACTACCATAGGTGCTCCAATGGTCTGCACTTTGGTAAACGGGAACCTTGGATGTTTATCTGCACTTTCTTTGAGGATTTGAATTTTGAAATGTGAGTTAATTGGCAAAAGAGCAAGGGGCTTATATAGATTTATGCTAGTTCTATTTTGATTGGGTCATGACAGTTGTTGAGAGTTCAGGAGTCAAAAACTTTTATCCTCGTGTATTTGGAGGGCTAAAATGCATCATGTAGTCCTGAGGATACTAGAGTTGTTGGTTTGAAGTAGAAAATTACAAAAGCATTTTAAAAGGGTCAAGAAGGTGGGGACTAGTTTTGTTGGGACAAATCATGGCAATATATCCAAGATCCTATCAACATCTTCATTATGGTTGGTGGGGAGGGTATATAAGATGAAAGATGGTTACCTCCTATCATGTAACCATGAATCCAAAAGAATGTATATGTGATCAAGGACTACATCGTCTTCACGTTCCCCTTTTTTTTATTATTTTTTTAATTACGAATTCCTGTTGTTTTTTGTTTCCGGTCTCCTATCTCATCGTGAATGTTATTTTTCTTCATTGATGTATTTTGATGAAACCTAATCATTCTGTCTTTTTTGTTTGGTTTTTAGAGGGACAAGCTACCAAGGCGTAGGTTGGGTCCAGATATGAGATTGAAGGATGAACGTGGTAACCGTAGAGAACGTGACAATCGAGCCAACGGAGGTGAAAGATTTGATAGGTCTGAGAATCCAAGTGAATTTCAGTCCAACAATGATGGTTCCGATGGAGGAAACCTTGATGAGTCAATGTATGATAGTTTTGGAGGGCAAGGATTACGTGTTGCTCCTCCCTTCCCCTCGGACATACCAACACCACCAGTATTGATGCCTGTTCCAGGTGCTGGGTATGTCTTATGATTTTTGCTTCTTTTCTCCTTAACAATCTAAATTTGGTTTGCTATTTTTCTTGAGAGCTTGTTCTATATTGTTGTTATTGCAGTCCATTAGGGCCTTTTGTCCCAGCACCGCCTGAGGTTGCAATGAGAATGTTGCGAGAGCAGGGTGGTCCTCCCCCTTTTGAGGGTGGTGGCAGAAGTGGACGGCCTGGGCCCCAGATGAGTGGACCAACCCCAATTCTGGCTTTATCTTCAGCTTTGGGGCAGGATCCCAGACGCATAAGAAGGTAATACTAATATCTGATGAAATCTATTTAGATAAAGCTAATGGTGTTCCATTTGTAACCATAGCATGCTCCAAATAGCTTGGAACGATTTAATTTACTGCATCAGTGATCCACTTGAGTAGCTTAGATCGGTTTATGGCTGAACTAATCAGTAATCCGGAATCCAGTCAAAATTGATTTGACATACTTTAAGACTGTAATCTGAAGGAAAATAAATGGTTTGGAGATAGCAATCTCCCTATTGATATCATTATCATCTTTTGTTTGACATGTTTATGTTTACATCTGTATCGGTTTTCTGTGATTCCAACTGAAACAAATGATGCCAAGCAGCTACTATAATTTTGACTTCTCTGGAATATGTTGATGAGATAAAAATTTCACTTTCATCTCATGATTACTTGTTTGATTGAGATATATGAGGGGTCCGAGATTTGAAAAATAGCAGCTTTTTATGTATATTGGCTATAAAGAACATGTTTAAGATTGGGATTACCAGTCCAGTTTTAGCTTTTCTATTAGCTTTGAGATGCTGCAAAGTTCACTGGAGTCAAGTTTGAGGCAGAATTGAAGAAACATTGATCTTCTGAACGTTGGGGTGGAACTTGGTGGCTAGGAGATGATGATGCCTACTGTGTAGTTGATTATACTGGCCCAATTTACTAAGCTCATAGTGGAGGATTTATGTCACTGCCTGACAGGGCTACCAACTAGTGGTTATCATAGTATTTGGTCAAACATGTTTTACTTTTGATGCAGGATCAGGAGCACCATTACCTAAAATGAGTGCGACCTTAACCGGGAGAACAATGATAGAATAGACTTTGAATTGATTGCTTTAAACAAGGACAAGAATGAAGTGATAGAAAATGAGTTATAATAAGAAGTTCCATAGTTTTCAACCCAAGATTCAGTTTAGTAGTACGCGGTATAGAATGGAAAAATGAATGTGACGAATGGCCATCTTTGGATTTTAGAATTTAGTCCTGTCCTAGCTTTTGGATGAATTTGTGGTGGTGTGTTTTGTAATATATATTTCTCCTGTTTCACATACTCATTCGTCAAATTTGCGTTGCTGGCAAATTGTCTCGAGCGAGCGATGAGGAAACATTCCATGGGAATGGGATGTTTCCTCAGTGATTCTGCATTGCAACAGTTTTTGGTTTACTTTTGTACATGTGACCATTCTTTTAATCTTGTTTTGGATTTTTTTTCCCCCTTAATTACCTTATATCTATCTGAAAATGGATACTTGTGGACTAAACACGAACTGCTAACCTGTATTTGATTCATGCAGCTATCAAGACCTAGATGCACCAGAGGACGAAGTCACTGTGATAGACTACAGGAGCTTGTAGATATTGTTTTTTTTTGGCAAGGATGCTCAAAGCCTTGAATGATGTTGAGGGGACAAACAATATAACCTTCTTTATGCTTAAAGATTTTTATCTGTTTTCGAAATTAGCATTGACTAGTGAAACCCGCCGTGATATTTGCTGCTTGCTTATAAGAAATTCTTGATTGTAATTTAGAATACTTGTGGGATCTACCTTTGACTTAGTCCATTACTTGTTCAGTTAGTGTTGCACCGCACACATTTTCCATGTGCATCTATTAATTGCTGTCGAGGTAATTGGAAAAATATCCTGTTTGAATATATATATATATATATATGTATATGTTTATAAATAGTTTCTAGTACAAGCTTAGTAATTCTTAGGGAAAAAACGTACGGATCAATGAAGCTTTAAATGGCACAAAAAGATTCCTCATTCTAGCACAAAAAGATGAAACTTATGAAGGAAAATGTTTTCCTGCAAAGAAAAACCATTCAAACCATTTAAATCAACCAAATCAAAAAAAAATCAAACCAAATTAATTAATAATCCGTTTGGTTTGGTTTAAATATTTAAAAGATCAATTAAATTGATTTGATTTGTGGTTTTACCTTTAAAAAAATCAAATGAATTTAAATCAATTTTTATCTATATAATTTTCTTAAAATTATATGTTTCATTTACTTCCAACTTATTTATATTTTAAAAACTTGTTTATTTTAAAATTAAATGATCATAACTCAAAAAGTTTCTACCTTAACTTATATATAAGGTACTAACCCTCTCTCCGGGGTCTATTCTCAAGCACTCTCTACTCCTCTCCTCTCCTCTCATTCTCGTCTAGTCTTTGATTGTGATTCTGTATAAAGTCTTGCCTCTTTGTTAACGTGAATATAGCCTCTGTAATAATAAGTGTCTCTAATTTGCTTATATTCGCTTTATTTCATATATTTAAAAAAGGTGAATATCATATTTAATCACGAGTCACAACTAATATTATATAAATATATCTATAATTGAATTGTTTTGACTTCATGCCTTTTGAAGAAAGAGACAGAGACAAAATAGCACAAAATATTAGTACAACTTATGGTTGATATTTGAGAAGAGATTGTAAAATATTAGTTTAAACTAATTAGAAAAATCAAACCAAACCAATTACAATCCGTTTGGTTTGGATTGGATTAAATCCATTTATTGGTTTGGTTTGATTTGAAAATTTCTAAACCAATTTGTAATTTGTTTGGTTTGTATTTCACTTAAAATAAACGGTTTTATTGGTTTGCACCATTCCATGCTGTGGCGAGATTGCGACTTATGAGTTAACAACAGCCGGGTTGTGAGTCCTGACCCATCCATGACAGGAGGTAGCAACCCCACAACATCCGGTGAGATAGGTGCTGTGAGTGTGAAGACAGAGAGAGAAGGCAGGGGAAAAGAGACGAGAAAATTAAATGGTGTCTTGTAGTCGTTTTTTGCTTATTCAAGTGGTGTAAAATAAGTTCACACAAACACACACGCACATAAAATAATAAGAAAAAAGTATTCAATTTTAGAGTTTGGGATTGATATGGGCGATATCGATTGTTTTCTTGATATTGGTTTCTAATTACTTCTTGTTTCTTACAACATATTTATTTATCACGTTAATTCGACTGGAATATTTTTATCTGACTATAAACAGACGTTTAGAACTTTCAATACCGTATTCTTCACTACAAACAATTATTCTTTCTTCTTTTCTGAATGTTTCTGTTCTTTTGCATGGTGAAAAATCATTGGTCACTGGGGCGTGTAGTAGATAGGTAGATCGATATAGTCCTATAGATATTGTCACTGGGGCCCTCTATTGACTTAAAGGATGGCCTTAAACGCCATTATTGCTAGTCAAACGCCATTATTGCTAGCTTTGTTACAAAATGTTTTACTCGATCGTTTTTTCCTGCAGTTCTCTAGTTTATGAGCTGTTTTAGTTTGGCAGTTTTTTGTCTTCTGCAGTTACTGCTACTTGTCCACTCTGATCATCACAGACCTTTTTTTTTTTTTTTTTTTTTTTTTTCCCGTATGCCTTCCCGCCACACCAAAAAAATCTCGATTCGACTCAACGTGACTCCTGAATTAGGTAATTGACTTCCTCATATTTCGATCACGTTCCTCCCAATTTCCTTTGAATATTATCATCTTTTTCTATTGCTTTGATTTGCTCGACTTGTTTAAGAATTTTGCTACAATATATATATATATATATATATATATATTATTTTAACTTACGGGTTTTTTTTTCTTATAAATAGTGTTTATTTATTTATTTTTTATTTTTTAAAGGTAGATCTGTATGTATATAATACAGTATCCAATGAATCTCACTTGTGGCTTGTCGCAAAACAAGGTATAAAAAGTGTCTTGTCGCAAAACAAACTTGTCCTAAATCTAAATACCATACGTGAATTTTGTAAGCTTAGAAACACGTGATAATCTCAGTATTTTTTTAAACACATTCGATTAAACATATGTCAAATACATGAGAGTTCTTTTTTTTTTTTTGCTGAATCATAAATGAAACAGTTGGAATACTTGATTTGTTTCCATGAAAAAAAAAAGAAAAAGAAAAAAAAAAGTGCCTCAAGATTTATGCAAAACACATATTAATTACTAACAAAAGTGTTCTTAATGCAACAGGGACTGTTCTCCCTTGAAGCTCACAAAAGCAGGTAGAGCACGTTTCGTCATCTCTTCCTTGTTGATTGGCTCCTACCCTCGGAATTATTTTCATAATTAATGCAAGTTGAACAAATTCTTGACCAGAATTATGAGTTACATGAAAGTGGTACTTTTCATATCAATTTTCCATCAGGGATTTAGCTCTTCTTCAGGATTTGATCCCATAGATAATTATCTTATAGACTGTGGATCACCCACCAATACCTCAGTCAGTGATCGTGTTTTTATATCTGATTATACAGCTTCAAAGTTTCTTTCAACTCCTCAAGATGTTCTTGCCAATACCACCAATAAATCAACCATTTCCTCTAGTGATTCACCCTTATATCAAACAGCAAGAATCTTCACCCAAACATCAACCTACAAATTTCCAATCCTCCGTCAAGGTAGACACTGGATTCGGCTACACTTCTCACCATTTTCATATGAAGTATATGACATGACCACTGCAAGATTTTCGGTTTTCACCGAAAACCATGTCGTCCTCTGTGACTTCTGCACGTATGATACCACTTGTCTTAAAGAATTCTCTGTGAATGTGACATCAAATAGTCTTGTCATTACGCTCTCACCTACGGCAAATTCATTTGCATTCTTGAACGCCGTAGAAGTTGTGTCGGTCCCTGATGAGCTCATTACCGATGATTCCGTATCCATTGTTGGCTCACTTGATCAACACTTCAAAGGATTGTCGAGTCAGGCATTTGAGACGGTTGCGAGGGTAAACATGGGTGGTCCAATGGTGTTTTCCAAGAATGACACCCTTTGGCGAACATGGGTTCCCGACCAAAGTTTTCTGGTACACAAAGACATTGTCATAAATGTGTCAAACATTGACGCTGTTAAGTATATTACTGGAGGAAGGGCAACCCCTAATATTGCTCCAGCTATAGTTTATGGTACTGCCACAATACCGGATTTTCAACATGATCAGACTTTCAGAGAAATTTTCAATATAACTTGGGAGTTCAAAGTGGATCAAGGATTTCATTACCTCATCAGATTTCACTTTTGTGATATAATAAGTGAACATCTCAACTCTCTCTACTTCAATCTGTATATAAATTCCTGGAGTGTTGCTACCAATCTTGACACCAGTGCTTTGTCCTCTTACTCGCTTGGATCACCATTCTACATGGATTATGTTACAATGTCAACTCTTAGCAATAAGCTTCGTGCAACAATTGGATCTTCTATTATACATGATGATTTCTCCTATGGTATTCTAAATGGGTTGGAGATCTTGAAAATCAACAATTCTATAGGAAACTTGGGTTCTCCAGTTATGTCTTCAACTAAGGAAAAGAATATTGCAGTGTTATCAATAGGCGTGAGTATTGGGGGATTCCTTGTAGTGACAATGTCTGCAGTTTTATTATTGATTATCTGCAAAAAACTGAAAAAATCACAAGCATACAAGGGCCATTCTAAGACAATCGCCACTGCAATCGATGCTTCGGAGTATGAGACTCGCATTCCCTTTCCTATCATTCAAGAGGCTACGAACAATTTCGACGAGAGCTGGGTTATTGGGACCGGTGGCTTCGGGAAGGTATACAAGGGAGTTTTGAGTGATGGGACAAAAGTTGCAGTTAAGAGAAAAAATCCGGGGTCTCAACAAGGGCTACAAGAATTCCGCACCGAAATCAAGATGTTATTGCTATTTCGTCACCGCCATCTTGTTTCATTAATTGGTTATTGCGATGAAGGGAATGAGATGATCTTAATATATGAATATATGGAGAATGGAGCACTAAGAAGTCATTTGTATGGCTCAGAACTCCAAACATACCTAACTTGGAAGCAAAGGCTTGAAATATGTATTGGTGCAGCTAGAGGATTGCATTACCTTCACACTGGCTTTGCCAAAGGAATTATCCACCGTGATGTGAAGTCTGCAAATATTTTACTGGACGAGAACTTCAGAGCAAAAGTTGCGGATTTCGGGCTCTCCAAGATTGGGCCGGACGTGACTCAGGCAAATCATGTGAGCACGGCCGTGAAAGGGAGTTTTGGATACTTTGATCCTGAATACTTTAGGAGGCGACGGCTGACGTTTAAATCGGATGTGTACTCATTTGGGGTGGTTTTGTTTGAGGTACTATGCGGAAGAGCAGCTGTGGATTCGACCCTTCCATCGGGTAGGGAAAATCAGTCCAGAATCTCTCAAGAAATTTGGAGAAATCGCCGAGAAATGCTTGGCGGAATTAGGTGTCAATAGGCCCTCAATGGGAGAAGTTTTGCAGAGTTTGGAGTGTGCTCTCCGACTTGAAGAGGCTCGGAGAAACGCATTAGTACTCACATGATTGATGACAGAAAAATTACAACATTCTGTTTCTGCATTTGAGTTTTCAAGTACTTGTGTTGGTGATGATCATTGAAGCGGTTACAGAGCGATTAAGTCCTTCTCATTGCCAATGATGTTTGAAGATAAGTGGCTACTTAGAGATGATCATAAATCTTATGGCCTTGGATTCTCTTGTTGATACAACAATTTATGTGTTTTCTCCCATCAACTCTACATTTGATTATAATTTGCCTATATCATTCTTGTTCGTACAACATTTTTACTACTTTCTTTCTGAAAGTCTCTTGAGGAATATATATCCACAAATGTAACATGGTCCGGACTAAGCATGTATACCTATGTCTGTGATTGATCCTTTTCAATTTGTAGCATAGAATAAGTTACAACATACGAGGGTGAAGAGGGATACAAAGAAGAAGAAGAAATAAAATGATTCGTGCTTTGTGTGACGGGAAACTCTTTCCTTGTTCTGTTATTAAAAATCTATATGAGTTGAGGTATTCTGCCTAAAACTTAAGCGAATTACACATCTTTTTGCCTTGTGTGTCCAACTGTTGATTGTGTGCCGGATAAAAAGGGAAAAAAAATTCAAACATAGTCTCTTAAACGGTTACATGGCTCATCTACGGCTACCATATTCTTTGGGCTGCTAACCATTACATGCCTTCCTTAGCATATTTGCCAAACTCAAGGATTCTAGCAGAATGCTATTTAGTCCACATTGACTTTCTAACAGCTCAAGAAAGTGATGATGCAGATATTGCCCATTTTCATGACGGTGTTTATTTTATGGAATCATGGCTATTGGGAAGATGTGTTTTGGCCTTTGTGTCTCACAATAACCAGATATTGTCACACATGGTTATTGGAATCATGATTTTGCTCTACAATAAATCTCCACTAAGGGTTTGAAGATTTCTTGTGTGACAATGTTTCATATTCCAATTTTTTTTATTCTTCTTGGATTTAATGCATATAAATGTAATTTGGTTTACAGTTTCTGCCATTTCGCCATGAGTTTTATCATTTTGATAAGTACAGATAACTATATGCAACCTACTGCTTTTGTATGGATTGCTCCTTTTACTAAATATGCCATCTGTGTGGAAATCGCTCGCTATTATCTTTCACAGTTTTGGCATGAAGCTTTGATCATTTTCTTCTGGCTGCTGTTTGCGAGAAAAGAAGGGTCGTATAAATTTTTAGAATCTATTTGAGATATTTGAGATCGAGGTGAACGATAATTTTGTTTTTTGTTTGCGTGTTAGTGTTTTTTTTTTTTTTTTTTTTTTTTTTTTAAAAAAAAAGTAATGGGAGTCAAAGTTTTTGTTAACAGAGAAGAGACACAAAATCATTAAATTTTGAAAAAAGCAAGCTTTGAAACAGAAAAAAAAAAAAAAAGAACCAAAACTACGAGCAATCTTTTTATCAGGACGAGCTCAAACGAAAGGAATGTCTTTAAAGGCCTCAAAAGCAAAAATCCAGTATGAGATTTGGGTATGATCATAGCACTAGTTCACTATACAATTTATGTACACTTGTCATTCAGTGTCATTTAATTGTCCTTATATTGTTTTTTGTGGTCAGGTCTTATTCATTCATTGTATGTTTGTATTGAGTGACTTCATTATTTTATTCTATTTGCTTATCTGGAGGGTGCTTTGTTCCTCTTGCAGAATGGGATTCAGGCCGCAGTGCTTTTGGCGATTCTTCTGGTGTGGGGACTAATCAAAGGTAACCATTATATGTTTTTCTGATGCTAGTTTTCACTTTTCAATAATTCTGTATTACAATGAAGGATATAACTGTACTTTTCGGGACTATATACATTTTACCTGGCAATGTTAGAAGTTAGAACTGACGAGTCAGTATTTTCAGGGAAGGTTTAATGTCGTACAAGCAATTCATTCAGGAGCTTGAAGATGTTATTCTGCCAGCTGAAGCTCAGCGGAGGTACAGGATGGTTATGAATTGTTCTAAATTTCAAGCATGAACATAATTTTTGTTTGCATTTAGACAAAATTGACCTAAGCATAAGCACTTATTGTTATTGTTTTTCTTTTTCTTATTGTTATTACTACATTTTTTTTGGTGTGGTGGTTATACAGATACCAAGAATACAAGTCTGAGTATATTACAACCCAGAAGCGAGCTTATTTTAATGCTCATAAAGAGGAGGAATGGTAACTCGTCTTTCGTTTCGTTCTTTTCTTCCCACTTTTCCCGTTTGCTTGTGTTGTTTTACTGAACTTGGACATGTTGTAGGTTGAAAGACAAATATCATCCAACCAATTTACTTGCTGTGATAGAAAGGTATGTCTATCTACATGAGATGAAAAATTCGTTGTACCAGATGACTTTATGCTGAATGTTTTTATTGAGCTTGGTTGTTGTTCAATTGTTCTTCTTCACCATCTTTGGCGTTAAACTGTTCTTGTGGGAATTTATATGCAGGAGGAATGAACTTGCACGAAAGGTTGCAAAGGATTTCCTGCTTGATTTGCAAAGTGGAACGCTGGACTTGTAAGAATAACTGTTCCATATATATATATATATATACATATTTGCGTGCTTGTACTTTTTGTTGCTTTTTTTTTTATTTTTTATTTTTTATTTTTGTTGTATGTGATCAGTACTTTTTTTATTTTTGACAGAGGCCAAGGACTCAATGCCTTATCTTCAAATAAAAAGGAACAGCCTAGTGATCCAAATTCTGAAGATGAAGTTGATGTGGGTGGAAAAAAGAGGAGGCGTTGTAGGACCCCAACTAAAAAAGGAGGTGGCAGAAGTGGACGGCCTGGGCCCCAGATGAGTGGACCAGCCCCAATTCTAGCTTTATCTTCAGCTTTGGGGCAGGATCCCAGACGCATAAGAAGGTAATACTAATATCTGATGAAATCTATTTAGATAAAGCTAATGGTGTTCCATTTGTAACCATAGCATGCTCCAAATAGCTTGGAACAATTTAATTTACTGCATCAGTGATCCACTTGAGAATAAGCTTAGATCGGTTTATGGCTGAACTAATCAGTAATCCGGAATCCAGTCAAAATTGATTTGACATACTTTAAGTCTGTAATCTGAAGGAAAAGAAATGGTTTGGAGATGGCAATCTCCCTATTGATATCATTATCATCTTTTGTTTGACATGTTTATGTTTACATCTGTATCGGTTTTCTGTGATTCCAACTGAAACAAATGATGCCAAGCAGCTACTATAATTTTGACTTCTCTGGAATATGTTGATGAGATAAAAATTTCACTTTCATCTCATGATTACTTGTTTGATTGAGATATATGAGGGGTCCGAGATTTGAAAAATAGCAGCTTTTTATGTATATTGGCTATAAAGAACATGTTTAAGATTGGGATTGCCAGTTCAGTTTTAGCTTTTCTATTAGCTTTGAGATGCTGCAAAGTTCACTGGAGTCAAGTTTGAGGCAGAATTGAAGAAACATTGATCTTCTGAACGTTGGGGTGGAACTTGGTGGCTAGGAGATGATGATGCCTACTTTGTAGTTGATTATACTGGCCCATAGTGGAGTATTTATGTCACTGCCTGACAGGGCTACCAACTAGTGGTTATCATAGTATTTGGTCAAACATGTTTTACGTTTGATGCAGGATCAGGAGCACCATTACCTAAAATGAGTGCGACTGTAACGGGGAGAACAATGATAGAATAGACTTTGAATTGATTGCTTTAAACAAGGACAAGAAAGAAGTGATAGAAAATGAGTTATAATAAGAAGTTCCATAGTTTTCAACCCAAGATTCAGCTTAGTAGTAAGCGGTATAGAATGGAAAAATGATTGTGACGAATGGCCATCTTTGATTTTAGAATTTAGTCCCGTCCTTGCTTTTGGATGAATTTGTGGTGGTGTGTTTTGTAATATATATTTCTCCTGTTTCGCATACTCATTCGTCAAATTTGCGTTGCTGTCAAATTGTCTCGAGCGAGCGATGAGGAAACATGCCATGGGAATGGGATGTTTCCTCAGTGATTCTGCATTTCAACAGTTTTTGGTTTACTTTTGTACATGTGACCATTCTTTTAATCTTGTTTTGGATTTTTTTTCCCTTAATTACCTTATATCTCTCTGAAAATGGATACTTGTGGACTAAACAGGAACGGTTAATGTGGCGACCATCTTAGTTGGCCGTCACTATAACTGAAATTAACTTGTATTTACTAAAATTTCTTAAAATTTGCGGAACATTTTTTTTTTTTAAAGTCTTATAGTAGGTATAAGTTATGAATTGCTTTCTTGTTTAAAATATTCAAACCTTGACATATATGTTTCTCAAAGCATATAGATATATCTATATGTATATACTTAATCCTTAAGTCTTGCTTACTTACAGCCATAACCCACAAAATCATTTAACATATAGTTTTAGAATCATAATTAACAAAACTATTTATAACGTAAAACTGTTTGCGGAAATAATTGTGTGCGGTATTCCCCGATCTCCACATCGTTCGACAATTCGCCATCAGTACATCAAGTATTATGTGCAGGTTGCTTACCGACAGCATAAATATTCTATGATGAGCTTTCGCTCAGCAAGTAGGAACTATCTCTCGCAAAATAACTGTAAATTCACATGAATAAATATGCATGAGTCAATTATGCTTAATTATGATCATGTCTTATTAAATTATTATTATCTCATCTTATCTAAATTACTTATGGGCTCGAGTGCTCGTACCATGTGCGCGCAACCATTGGGATGTGGGGGTTTGCAAGGTCCCCAACGACCGAAAAATCTCGATCTAGGGTCCTCATTTTCATGTTCAAAAGAACTGGAAAATTTTTCTTCTAACCCAAAATAAGCAAACTTAAACCAAGCATAAACATACCACATAATACTAATCAACTAACCTCAAAACACACAAAGCTAACATAAAACTCACACACCCTTATTACAAACTTATTTCCTCAAGAACTACAAATTACATCCATGATTCACAACTTAAACTTTGTTAGAAAAATAGAGGAAGGGTTTAGAGTTTTTATCCTTGAAGAAGATTCTTGGTTAGGCTCCTCCTATAAACACTTTGATCACCTTCTTTTTCCTCTAAGTTTTGCTAATGACTTGGAACAAGAAGAGTGGACAAATTTGAGAATAGCATTTCTGAACCCCAAATTTTGCTAGAAACAAGAAAGATGAGGTTTAGAGTTTTACCCTTTAAGAAAATCCTTGGCTAGATACCTTCTAGTACACCTTGGTCCCTTTCTTCTTCTTGAGATCCTAGACTAGTGCTTTGTGTTTAGAAGGATGAGTGAAATTTTTTTTGAGAGGAAACAAGAGAGGTATGGCCGGTTTGGTGCTTTAAGAGTGAAGTGAAGTAAGCTTTTTTTGTTAAATAGTTGATTTGATTATCTCATCATGAAGTCTTCTAGTACACTCAACTAACCAAAATTTTTGCTTAAAACCCCTTAACATGGCCGGCCAAGTGAAGAAAGAGAGGAAAAAAAAAAATTATCATGAGTACTCTTCATCTTCCACCATCACATCTCATTCAATCTAAATATTAACCTACCCCTTGTACTTTTGTCCCATCTCTTAAGTTTCTTTTGAAATTGTTAAAAATTATACTAGCTGTAAGGAAGTACTTAGCCGACAGGAAATTCTAGTTTCTGACAGTTCCTTTTATACTGCTTATTTACAGTTCAATATTAATCTCCCAGTAGTTCAATATTAAATTCTTACTCACATAATATTTCGAGCTATTTCAAGTCTTGAAATTAATTCTAGACTGAACAAATTCTAAATTTAACTTTTCTGAATCGTCTAAATCGTCAAGTCGACCTCCGGCTGTTCTTAAGCCGCTTGACCTAATGGTCAAACCATGATCCTTCATTAAAAGAAAATACTATGTAAGTTTTCTATCATTTTCTGCGTGTAAAATTACGTCAGTTGTATGCAAAATGTAATCGTATATTGGTAAGACTACATGATTTTTTTTTACTTGATACATGATTTCCTTCATACCTACACTCTTGATTTATAAATAGAATTTTGCTCTCATTTAAGCATAAACCTTTAATCTTATATAGGCTTGATTTCATTTAGCATAACTTTTTAATCATAACTCTTGGGAGTGTATGTCACTTCCCGCATCATTTTCATATATCAGCATATCCGTTGGGAGTGGCTACCACTTCCCATAATACATTAGCAAAAATGCCTAGTCCGGTTTGGGTGAGAGTGGCTACCACTTCTCACAGTACATAGAATGTCAAGGTAATGTCTACTGAGAGTGTTTATCACTTCTCACTGTACATCATTACAAAAAGAAACTTATGTCAAGTCTAGGTGAGAGTGGCTACGACTTCTCAAGGTACAAAAAGTGTCCTATACAAAAGGGCAAAATATACAGTAGGTGACGCTATCAGTCAGATGATGACCCGGACTCAGCCTTTGCATCTTCATCTGAGATCTCCTCGTCCTCAAACATCTCGTCCTTGAACATCTCATCCTCAGAGGGATCCTCCTCCTCTGTGAACTCATCGTCGCTCGCGATGATAACATGCTCTGGTAACTCCTCATCATAGTCCTCTGGTATGTAGTCTAATGACTCATCGTCATCCTCATCGTCATCAGTATGGTATCCCTGTGCCGCATCCTGCTCTGGCTGAGCTACTGCCGCTGCTGCTGCGGCATTGGCCTGGAGCTGCTGTTGGACTATGTGTAGCTCCCATTCGCCATAGATTATCTCTGCCAGGAACTGCTGGACATGATAGTATTATCCAGGATAAGGGACTAAGTCTTGGACACCCTATGGTACCCCTCTCGAGATCAAATCACGAACCTCTGAAAACAAGATCTGAGATGGTATCTCGGGCATCATGGCGTCCCGGAAACGCTGGTAGTAGTGAGCCATGGACTCTCCCTCGTAGGAATCCCAGATTGCCTTTAAAGCCTCATAGTGTCTCATCTGGATATCTCCCAGATATGAGGATCTCTAGACACTTCCTGAGCGTGATCAACAACAGCACCATACAACACTGGTCCATACTCAGCTTTAATTTGTAGCTTGAACTCTTCCCAATTAGGGGGTTGGTGCTCGCCTCCCATCCCGAGCCACTAAGCGAGAGCGTGTCCTCCTAGTTTTGAGGTGGCCAAACGAACTCTCAGCCGTTCCGGAATGTGACAGACGTCGAAGGCTATCTCCAACACGTTGATCCATTCCATTAGTAAGTACGACTGGCTGCGTCTGGAGAATGTGTGGATACTTGTGGACTAAACATGAACGGTTAATGTGGCGACCCTCTTCGGTGGTTGATTACGCCCAAACGTGTACAAAAATAAGCGGTCAATTGTAGTACAATTTGAACGGTCGATCCCACAAGGAAGTGTTAAATTGAACAAGAAATGATTAGCAAATAAAAAGCGTTAGGAAAGTAAGCAATCAAACAAAGAAAAAGAATGAGTGTTTTTAATGATTTTATGAACAATTTAAAATGGAGAAAATTCAATAAATAAAAGTGGTAAGGCTTTGAGAATCCTCCATATGCTTTGTTCACCTATTTGGATTTTGATTCATAAATTGACTCAATTGAAAGTTTCACATCCCAAACAATCAATCGGAAAATAAATATTTGAAGAACATATGAATTAAAAATGTATTCGAGTAAATAAAATTCTAACGTTTAGAATTAGGAAAAATTATCTTATGAGAAATCCAAGAGCGACAATATACCGTTGGCAATAATGCAGTAAAAGACTACTCATAAAATAATACCGATCAATATATCATATAATGCAACAATCACATAAAAAAAAGCTTGACTAGATTTATATGAGAGTTGACAATAAAATATATTGATAAGAAGAAGAAATATGATAAAAGAAAATTATTTACTCA